CATAACGAGAACTGACGATAATGATGATCAGCACTTGGTGGGTGATGTGGTCAGCATCACGCCGGCCTCCTTTACTTCCCGGAACTGCACCCGATGCCCACTCAAGGCTTGGTCGACCTGGGATTTAAGGTCATTTTGTCAGGATGCGAACCCACAAACTTCCGATCTGCAGGCGGGCGTCTAGCAGCCAACATCACGACGACTTCCATTTACACCACGAGGCAGACCAATTATAAGGCGATGGAGATTAATATACAGACAGACATGCAAACATCTAAGGTCACCAAGTGGAAAGGGGGGGACTAATCACACAGATTATTTGGGCTGGATACTACTCGGAATGTTCATTACGGAGCGGCTAGACGCTCGCCAGCGGATCTTATGGTTGGGGTTCGGATCCTGGCGGAGCTTGACTTTTTTCAAAAATGACTTTGGCTTGAGTGGGAATTATCTTATGAAGTAAAGGCCGCCGATGAGATGCTGACTTCATCGGGGACTGGTCTATAAAATATAGATCTAGCCCTATACGCCTAAGGGCTTGGAAAAGGGTCCTTTTACTTAGGATACATTATACTGTACATCCACATCTCAATACGATTTTCTGAGGGCTTACTGTTACCTAAACACAACTACACAGAATTCTCTAGGGATGTAAACACTTAAACATTCTCACGGGAATATGATAAAAGGCCGAATAAATGCACATACAGCTGGTATGAGAAATTACAACCCAAAAAAAAAAAAAATGCATATACAAAATCACCCGGTTTCCGATCCTTGCGATCCGTCGTCCAATTAACAAGTTCTGAAATCCAGTACACAATTTAGAATTACGACCTGTCTCCAAAATTGACTGAGTCAATAAATTAAAATCTCTCCAAGCAACGCATGCCCTAGCCGCAGCCTGGGATAGCGCTAAACCATGTGCGAGGGAGTAATCGTTTCCCCAAACTCCGCGTGCAGCCTGATCACAGAACTTTCGGTGTTTCGTAGCTACCTCACTAACGCCGCAACAAGATCTGTTCAAGTGAAACCACACCCATCCAGGCAGACAACGGTACACCAAGGCCAGCTCAAGATTTATACCTGAGCTGGCCGGGGGTACACTTTCTAAACTAGACGCTCACCTGTGAACTGGGAAGTGATGTGTTCCGGTCCTGGCATACCAGACCTTCTTAAAAAATAACATTGGCTCAAAGCTGGACCCGGCCTTACTGAATGAGTACCAGGTACATTTATGGAAAGTAACGGTGGCTGACGTGATGTTAACCAAATCACACGCCGAATGCCGATTGATCTATAAAATATAAGTCTAGCTCTATATGCCAGAGGGCGTTGGGAAGGGCCTTTTTCATGTACTCACACCTCCGTGAGGGTTCCAGGGCCCCTTTGTGGGGAAAACAAGAATAGACCCAATGCCTCCCCAAAAGCATGTCGTAAGAGTCGACTAATTGGGGAGCTTCCTTTGAAGTCGGAGTGCATCTACCGGAGAGGCAAGGAACCAACAGTCTGTATTCAAGAGAATGAGATCTGTAAAACGCAACACTCTGGAGCAGGACTGCAGTTCAGTAGTGGACGAGCAACCAGAACTTTCCACCAGAGTGAACAGCTGGTGAACGCGAAGAAGAAGAAGATGTACTAACATTTCAAGCATTAAAAATTATGTGCGCTCTTTTAATACATCGTGTCTGTTGGTCTTCGTGTCTCTAAGGTTGTCCTTACTGCCGTCACTTCCCAAAGAGAGTAGTCTTCCCGTTTGCTCCTGTATTAATTACTGGAGTATGATGGTGGGGAGAGAGCCCCCCTCCCCCCACCCTCCCCTCTCTTGAGCGAATTGATTTTATACCATGATCACTTGATAATACACATTGAAAAGCAAATTTTTCTTATTATTATTAACAGGTAAATCTACATTTTATAATGTTTGCATTATTTTGGTACTATTCCACTGACCAAGTAAAACTAGTAATCTCCTAACGAGATGCAATTTTTTGTTATTTTGAAGTCCCACCCTGAACGCAGTTTCCGGGACATCTCCACTTCTCATCCACGTGGTGGCACTTTGTGCCATCTGGTGTTTATCGCTTGTGTGATGTCCTAGTGGGGTAAAATGTACTACTACTACTACTACTACTACTACTACTACTACTACTACTACTACTACTACTAGTACTACTGCTAATTTTAGTACTAAGAAAAGTTACTCTTCTCTTGACAAAGTGAATTCAAATATACATGTTGCCTCCCCTTATAGTGTACACCGCTAATTTTCAATTAGGTTTATATATTCAGCATGTTCTTGAATATTTTTAATAACATACAGTTTTTCTCAGAGATAAATTCTATAGCTCCCTCTATTTCACCGTTCCGGGCTGCTACTATTAGTTTTAATCAGCCTGAGATTCTTCTTCTTCTTCTTCTTCAGCATTCTGAGCCCTTGAGGTTCATTGCTCCAGATATTACCCGTCTCCATTCATCTTTCTGGTTGGCCTTCTCTTTCCAGTTGGTGACACCAAGTGTTTGCATGTCTGTCTGGACATTATCTCTCCATCTTCTTCTTGGTCTGCCTAGTGATCTGCAACCATTCATCTCCCTTGTGTATACAGTTTTAACTTCTCTGTCATCTGACATTCTTTCATTATGCCCTATCAGTCTATTAGCTCTCATGATGCCAGAGATCAGTGGTGATTTAAACAGATTATAAATTTCGTTATTGCTTCTCACTCTACCACAATGAAGACAAAACTGTATGGTACACGAGAGGATATGGATTGCACGATAGCTTTCATAAAGGCTACTGGCCTCCTGATATAAGTTTTCTGACAGAAGGATCGAAGAAGAAGAAGAAGAAGAAAGACTCTCCATTCTCAGCTGTTTGCATCTTTGCTTGGTCCAAAGATTAGTCGTAAGACTCTGTTTTCGAAAACATGTAACAAGGCTTCATCTCTTTTAGATCTGCTCCAAGTTTCAGAGCCATATAAAACGACTGGTCTTATCGATGTTTTATATATTTTTATCTTGGTGTTGCGAGACGGAAACTTTGACTTTAGCAGATGATTGGCATAGTCTACTTTATTTCCAGGTTGTATTCTAGATTGTATTTCTTCTCTCAGCATGTCTTCTCTCAGCATGTCTTCTCTCAGCATGTTAGAGCAGTTGACGTTTGCACCCAAGCACTTATATGTTTCTGTTCGTTTGATTTTAATATTATCAACTTGCATGTGGCCGGAGTTTATACACTTTCCTTGTCTAGTTATTATTGTGTATTCTGTCGTGTCTTGATTGATAACTAGTCCCATTTTCTGAGCTGATTCTTTTAAGACAGTCAGTGTTTTAACCGTCTCCGGTTCATTTTCTTCAACGATATTGTCATATGCATATCCAATCATTCTTGTAGATTCTCCTAAAGTTCACTCTTATTTCAATTTTCTTATAATTTTCTCCAGGGCCACGTTGAAAAGAAGTGGGGACAGAGCATCAACTTGCTTTAAACCAAATGTTTTTTGAAAAGGGTCTGACTTTCTGCATTTGTTAACTTCCAAATTACTAGTGTCTTCCACAATAGTTTGGCCATGGTTATAAACTTCTTTGGTATTCCAAAGTCCTTTATAACATTCCATAAATTGTTTCTATGCACACTATCATCCGCTTTTTTAAAATCCACAAAAACATTATGCACATTTTTTCTATATTCCCAGTTTTGCTCTGCTATTTGCTATAAAATGAATATCAGAATCCCGCTTGGTAATCTCCCAATATATCTTCCACGTAAGGTTTTAACCTGTTTAGCAGTACCGACGATAGTATATTATAGCTTGTAGATAATAGTGCTATTTCTCTATAATTTTCACATTTATATTTGTCTTCTTTATTACAAATGGGTATTAATAAAGACACTTTCCATTCATGGGGTAATTTCTCCGTCTTCCAGATCTCGTTTTGTTAATTCATATATCTTTACATGTAATGCATGATCACTGTCTTTTATAAGTTCAGCTGCAATTCCATCAGCACCAGTTGCTTTATTGTTTTTAAGCCGTGTTATGACAAACAATACTTCTTCAAAATCAGGCTCTTAAATATTTGGTTCACATATCAATATCTCTTTCTGTGAATAAGTATTAAGTAGAATCTCACAATTTAACAATTCAGCAAAGTATTCCTTCCATCTATAACATATTTTCTCATGAATATTTATCTTGTTCCCATTCTTATCTTTTAAATTATAAAAGCTTTGTTGACGCCCTCGTTTTACAGCCTTCTGTTCTTTAAACAACTTTGTGGATTAGTAGTACTACTACATGTTGCCCCACTAGGACATCACACAAGCGATAAACACCGGATGACACAAAGTGCCATCATGTAGATGAGAATCACCCGTGGAGAGGTCCCACAAGCGGATGACTACTATAGTAATAAGCAACTTTGTGGATTCGTTGTTTTGATGGTTAGCTTCCATATCCGTGGATCAGTCTGAGATTACAAAATATAAATCCGAACGGCAAGCCGACATGGCATACATACCAGACACCCTCGCTCAAATTCAAAAGAAAATATAACTGACTGCAGCCAAAAGGCTACTTTAGTGTATGTAATATGCAGGTTAAGAATGAGGTCATTTCTGCAGACAGATCAGTCAGTAAACTTATAGTTGAAGCAGCCACAAGGGAATCCCCGGTACTTCACCAATCACAATTAAGGCCATATCTATTAATAACGACTAATAGTTGGCGCCAAGATAAGCGTGTCGTCACTTCCTGTCTGCACCGTCCCAACAGTCCACGCCCACAAACCTGGACTTCACACGCGGTGGGTCAGACCCCGGACTTTCTACCCATTTTCTACATTTACTGAATTCACTTGGACACGTTTGTGCTATTATTTTATAATTATAAGTACATAAATTCGTAATTTATATGCAAAAATGCGTTTAGAAGCATCTTGTGGTTAATTTTCTGTTGTTACTTTGAACAAGCAGTAGTGAATTAAGTGTGCACTGAATGGATGCCACCTTTGTTGTCGATACGCATTTTGGCATAAATAAAATGGCCTTACGAGAAACAAACAAAATGAATTTTGAATTGGACACTGACACAAGAATGGCTGTGGATTGCTTGATTGCCATGTCAAAAAGTCAGAGCGACCATACATATGTGTTGACTTGTGATCCACCGACGGATAGTCAGCAGGGCGTCGTTTTAGTCTCATCCTTGAATCAGCAACAATGCCACCAAGTGGAAAATCAAGGGCACCTCGATCATCAGTCTGATGTCTTGTCAGTTGCAGATTGTTTAAACGCTCGTATAGTTGCGAGAATTCTGGCAGATCTTAAATCAATAAAACAAGAAAGTTGTTATCATGAAGACTACCATCTGGGTGTCTCAGAGTCCAGTTCAGCAGCCACGCTTGAAGTCGTTGCTTGTACGAAAGTGGCAACGGCCACGCCTACCCTGGGCAAAAGACTTTTAGATCACGCTTTCGTTAAAGCCAACAGCATTCACGGCAAGAAAATCCACACGTGTACTCATCCAGGTTGTGAGAAATCGTATAACAAAAGTTCACACTTGAAGTCTCATATGAGGACACATACAGGTAAGATTACTAGATAAATGTATGCAGGTGACATCAGTCATAACTGTTACTATTTTCATCATCCGCGCCATTTTCTTTGTTTGGCTTTTGGGGCGACCACATGTTTTCTTTAGTGGCGGTCTATTTCAGTGAATTTCATCAGGTATGGGGTTTACCTGTTACTGTTACATATCTGCATTTATTGCACACAGTGGAACAAACTTTGTTACAAAGCTAGTACTAGTAGACAATTATATAATTAATAATATAAATACGCATTCATCTTTAACCCTTTGAAGACAGCCTTTTTGGTGTTTCAGAAGCGGATTCTCAAAGTTTATAAGCTTATTTATACACACAAAATAAAAATAAAAAAATCGTTTATTTGCCATATACTATACAAACTATATATATTTGTGTAGGAAGTTAAATGAACTAACAGAATATTAATGAGTTAGACTGAAGTTTTAAGTTTTAACATTTATTCAAATGAACTACATTATTCTGATTTTTTATGCAAGCAATTCTTTTTATATAAAACTTGGATACAAACATAACTAACCTTAAAAGTTTGGGGTCATTTTTTTTTTTTATGGATGAAGCTTGAAGAAGTCCTAACACCTTTAGGTTAGGAAGTAATGCCTATGGTTCTACTCATTTTCCTGCCTCCAGCCATGTTTCTTTCAGTTGCTATGATGCAACAGTCCTTTACGCCATTTTTATGGGCACAGTTAACCCCAGAAAAAAATATCTAAAAATGTAAAATTACAGAAACAATCAAACTTTCTCAAAACCCATTAATGAACAGCCCACATGTGCAAGAAATTCGAGAAGCAGTATGATTGGCTGGTGCAAAAACCTGCCAGAAAACCTCGTCTTCTTGGTTACTTTGTGTTCGCCCGATATTTCGGCTGCGTCGTCTCTCGAGGGTTAAAATTAAATGCTCTCTGTAAAACTTACATTGGTTTATTTAATTTTATTCAAAATCTCTGTAAATTGCGCTTGCTCTCTTCATTAGCATGTAGGCAATAGAGGTGGATAATTTGAATAGAACATTTGTTCCAACCTATGCTTAGATTAATCACCCAAGTCCAAAGCCAGCCATGCTTGTTTTCATATTTGAATTTTTGGCACTGCTTGCAATGGTGACCCTAGGGGACGTAATCCATTGTTTATGTAAGTTTATCTAATATTGTAATAATCTTTTATATTTAATATTATTTGATGTTAGTTAGAATTAGGACTAACTGGCGTACGCGTCGCCCTAAGCAAGCAACAAATATCTGAAGTCCTCCCCTCGTGGGATGCCATTTTTTTTTTTTTAAAGCCCCACCCTGGCTTTTGCCCTGGGCCCTGGATATAGCTGGGCCATAAATATGGCTAAAAGGGGTTTCTGGGACCTCTATGGTTGATTCTCATCCACATGCTGGCACTTTGTGTCATTGGGTGTTTATCGCTTATGTCATGTCATGGTAGGGTACAACTACCTACCTTAAACAAACAATATATTTATGTTACATCCACTGCGGTTGCCACTGCAACAAGTGTCAAATTTATCTTTCTTTTTGGTAGAAACTCCATGTATCCTTTTTGTGGATCCTATTGTTTAGGTGTATATTAAATTGTTCTTTAAATATGTAATTAAAGAAAAAACAGACCCTTTCTCTATTTGACTATTTGTATTTCTTTTAAAAAAAGGCTCTGATAGATTCTCTATTTTAGTACTTAGTTCATTACTTTCTTCCATCTTCATGTATTCCATGCTCAGTTCCTGGGCAGCGGTCAACTCTCCATTGTTCTCTAATAATAATATGGTACTACAATATTTCTTTTTTTTCCCCTTAAATTTTTTTTTTTACAAAACCTTGTAACTTGCTGTTTTAGAAAATATTTCATTGTTATTATTTTACAACCTGTTTAGGTTGTAGGCTTTGCTACTGATAATCATATGTTGTATAAGGTGGAATATTCTCAAAATAAAAGGGGCTAATTTTCTTCTTCTTCTCTTCTAGATTTTAAGTGAAGTGGCTATATATATTTGAATGAAGGAAATATATATGCTTGTTTACTCGTGTGGGTTTCAGGTTCCGTAGTGGGGAAAACAATAATCGACCCACTGCTTAACCAAAGCATGTTCAGTAAAAGTCCACTAGTTTGAGCTTCTATAAGTCGGGAAGTGCATCTGTCTGAAAGGCAATGAACCAAGTCTGTATACACATTGTCAGATCTGTAAAACAGATGTGCACACAACTCAGCCCAAACAGCCAGAACTTTCTGCTAGAATTTTACAGCCGCTGAATGTGAATAAGTATTAGTATGCATTTTTTTAAGGCTCTCAACACGTTGCTTTTTGTAAAAAACCCCCCCCCCCCCCCACCACCATGTAGGCCTGTCCACACATGTTACTGATTTTCAATTTTTTTAGTGTAATGTTCACATATATTTTAACCCTTCGGTGCTTTTCCTCTTTTGTAAGTTGAAACTAGTGCCTGTTCATTTTTAGTAAGCGTGGGTATTTCTGGAGGATTCAACTTAATACAGGCTTACATATAATGAATTCCTCTTCGTGAAATATCCACCGGCACTCCAAGGGTTTCAAATAGTTTTATTATTAATGATGCACCAGCTCTTAAATATTTCACAGCACTTTAAACTGCCTCTGCCACTGTTTTGATTCAACAGAATTTCAAATGTGTGCATCTAACTGATGCTGTGTGAAAATCTGCTTCGTGAATCTTTATTCAGTTCACACCACAAACTGCTGATTGCACACATTACACTTTTTGATAAAAACTGAACAGCAGACCATAATCCATGAGGAGAAATTAACTCTGAGTTTTGCTGTGATTATTGGAAAGATAGCCCTCTTGTAACCTAATATTGTTGGTGTATAGGTAAATATTCTATCACAAACTGGTTGTTCAGTTAATTCCTCGTAACTAATAAGTGAACCAGTGTGCTAATTTTGCAAATAGCTTCTCGTAACCATGTATAGAGGTTCTCCTTTTTAAGTAAAGGGGAAATTAATAAGTAACTAAAGAGGTTAACAATGTTAAAACCTTTTATTTTTTTCACATATTATACAGTCCCTTTGTTTTTAAACATAATTTCTGCCAACATTGATGCACTTGTTCCATCATTTTTTAAGTCCTCCCAACCCTGCTGCATAGAACTGTTTTCAAAACTGCATTTTCACTTCACATTCAACTTCTGCGCCATTCGCAAAATGACTCCCACCAAGGTGGGTTTTCAGTGGACCAATAATGTGGAAATCCTTAGGGGCTTAGACGGGGCTGTAAGCTAGATGTTTCCAAAAGTTGCCACCCTAGATGGTTAATTTTCTCATGAGTTAACCGAGCCGTATGTGGTCTGGCATTGTCATTTTGTGTTCATCTGTCAGTTGTCTGAGTTCCCACCTTGAGAAAACTCTTAAATTTCAGTCTATCGTGTATTATGTTGTATGCTGAACCATGTGAGCACCCTAATGAAGCTGCAACAGTCTACGATTACTCGCCTGTCACCTCTAATCATCATCTCCACCCGCTGCATGGATGCGTCTGTTGCAATCTCAGCAGAAACGACCAGAACCGACTTCATCAACAGCCATAGAGCGCCCTTGGGTAAATTCTTTTCATCCAGCTATGTTCCGCTTTCCAGGATAAACTCTTGTCAGCATTAACAGGAATCATTTCCTCATGAATGTCCTTTGCCCCAGCCACCCACAAAAATTGCACAACAGCACTTTCTTCTTTGAGGGTACACTCCATAAGTACAGTCGCTATTTTGTTTATGTGCTGCGAATGCGCATGCAACACCTAGCTCCACCTGACAAGCAGAGACATACAGATCGATGTTGCTATCATCTAATCACACCTATATAAACTATGAACTACATTCTGCCATCCCGTAACCATTTGTAACTTACTTATTGACTTCCCGTTGTATATATACAATTTCGAATTATTATATTTTTATGCCATTTATACCTTGAGGGGAATTGGCACAGAACCAATACTGAACTTTATAGGTAGACAACAATTCAAATGGTTTGACCAAGTAACAAGACTGGCATTAGACAGGGCACCACAGAGAGCAATGTTATACATATTCAGTGGTGACAGACCCAGAGGTCGACCTCGCAGGAAATGGACCGCAGAAATGTCAGAGACACTGAAAAGTACTATATGCGAAGCGAACAGAGGTGCCCGTTCTAGAGATCTCTTCCTTCCCTGACGCTGTGAGGCATTCCAGGAGTAGAGTATTTTTTGCACTCTTAAACAAGACTTGCGACTCTCATACTGCCAAGAGAATATTTAGTGAAACCTGCCCCCCTCCCCAGTATTTATTTGGGACTGCGCTCCTGTTTTTATACTGAAGCTAGCACTTTGCACTATTCTGGAAAAGAAGTATATTTAAGAAAACTTCCTTATTCTGGGTGATTTGATGTGAACGATGCTTGTGTCTAGCGTATTTTTGCAACTCCCGTCTCCGTGCACGTCATATTATCGTCTACTGTCGGGTTATCTGATACGCTGTTGCTGTATTTACCTGTCTCTGAAACCTAGCATAGTTGTTTAAAAAATATGTTATCGCCATCTTGGGTCAAGGCATTTCTCTCCCCATGTCTCATCCAGTGTTGCCACTTTTCTTTGACAAAAAACATCCAAAACGGAGTCCAAAAAAATATCTTAAAAAACATCTAAATTTGCGTGAAAAACATCCAAACGGAAAAAGTCACAAATTACAAAGCAATTGATATGACTTACCCTGAATCATGTCCTCATCTTTACTAAAGTCTGCCTTACAAGATCCACAAGATTTAGCTTGGATGATGAAGTTGAAGCTTCAGATCCAAAATGGTCTGGTATGCTTTAGCTGTTTCAATTTCTTTTAATACCCAATCAGGGAGCTGATAAGTGGAACAGCCTTTTCCTACTCTTATCAGGCAAAATTTTATTGTCAAGATAGCATTTAAGAGGTCAAATTTATCCTGTTCCTTGGGTTAGATTTGATAAATTCACTCCAAAGGAAAAAATCTAGAAATACATCTACCATCTGACGTCAAAAACCATCTAAATGCAAGGGAAAATATCTAAATCTGGATGTAAAACATCCGAAGTGGCAACACTGGTCTCATCGTGTATCTTTCTGTGCTGCTTCACGAACACCAAGCCGCCATTGCTGTATGCATGGGGGGGGGGGGGGGGGGGTGAGAACCTGAGGGTTTAGGGTATCATGGCTAGTGCTGTCGCCACGGACTGTGCAGGTTAGCAGCTTTTTTTTTGCCGCTGACAGAAAAAAAAAATATTCCGGAAACTGAATATTGCGTGCACATTCGTTTCACATGTCTGACTCATTTGCATGCAGACTTTTGGTTCCCTGTCTCTCAGTCAAATGTACACCGACTTTCGAAGGAAGCTCACAAATAGTCTACTCTTACGACATGCTTTTGCGCAGGCAATGGGTATGTTTTTGTTCTTGGGGCCCCGGAACCCACACAGGGACAAGCAGGTAGTGACTTGGTTTCCGACCAGACAGGCAGGGAAGCAGTATGTCACTTTGTCGTTAGTTCTGTCTGTACGTTACAAGACCTGGCGCGATTTCATTTTGAAAACTGAGATAGTCACACACACACACACACGGGTACTTATTGTCGAGCTTTCTAAATAATATAGATCTTTGTGGTCAAGTAATTTGTCTCGCAATCTGAAGGTCGGTGGTTTTGGAGTTAGTTTTTTTGTGTGGTGATCTCGACAGGCGGCTACCAATACTCTGGAAAGAGACGGAACCGGGTGTAATAAAGTCGATCCTGTCGAATTTGTTTTTCTCTGGCAGTTATTTGGTATCTTTGGCGACTTTATACCTTAACAAAATCATAGGATCGTGAAGATGTAATGATGGGAGCACTAGCTGTGTTTTTTCCTTGTTGGTCATGTGTATATTAATTTAGTAATGTCCATTTCATGATATTGTGACGTTATGTTTTTCTTAACAACATCAAGTTAAAGTCGACAGGATCGACTTCATTCCACCGGGTGTTATCCCAAATGGCTCGGTCTCTCTCCTCAGAACGGCTAACCGCCTGCTGAAAGCGTCGCACAGAGCGCGATCTCCGTAGCTCCAGCAGTGGTCCCCGGGGTTCTCCGTAAAGAATTGGACACACGAACTAAGGGCACAGTGTTGAAACGAATCTACGACCTTCAGAGCGCGAAGCAAACGGCTTGACCACTTCGCGACATCACGAAACGGTCAGGACTAAATTATAAATTGAGTACATTATAATCGAGCCTAAAAACGGAATTTCACTTAAACATATTGAATGGGTTTGTAAAGTTGGCAGTGGTTATTAGAGTCAAATCGTGGAGGAGGAGGTCGGATTCTCGCTTGTAATATTCTTAGAAATACCAGTGGATGTACCGCAGCCAATCTCCATTGTGGAGCTGAAATCCAAAAAGTAAATATCAGTTTAGAATTTCCTTTTTTGGATGGCTTTTGGTTATAATTGTGGCGTAGTGAATTGGTTTAGGCAGACACAGGAGTGACCGACCACTTTGTGTGCGCACCAACAGGTTTTTCGATTAGCACAGAACAGACATGGTTAGTCATCGGTCAACGTAGAGCAACAATTGTTAGCCGTTTAATATTGGTGGTTTATTACAAATTGGACCAGGGCTTCTGCATATAGTTAACTAGTGAGTTCATATCCTCGAGAGGACTGCATGGTGTCCGTCTGGGTTCAATCCCCGGTAAGGGCTGGGATTTTTTTACGTGGACTTGGGACTCAAGTAGTTCCCACTGGTCTATAGGTAGTGAGATCGGACGCCCGTGTGCATTGGTGCGCCGTAAAAAAAAATCCCTTGGCAGTTGAAAATCAAAAAGAGTAGCCTAACGCCGCTGCCCGGGCACAATTTTGAGTTAAAAATCTACCCAAAGTATTTTAGGATCCTCACCGGTGCTACAGAGTCTGTGCAGTGTGCTGAGCTTGTTCTGACTTGAGTTTGAAGTAGAACGGAGCACTTATGGGTACTCGTGTGCCATGATGTTGATCCATTGTTTAAACCTCAGGGGATCGCAAAGCAGCTCCAGCACCTATTAGCTGCGTGTGACTGTACTGTTTCGGCCTGCTACCCTATCGCTTGCAGCGGAATTCAAACCGTGGTATGGCAGGGCTGTGAAACGTTTGCGATGATAATTATAATTCTATTCCCATTCCTTTTGAGAGAAAAATTAAAATTTCGACCACTTTCAGACTGCAGCTAGCTAGCCGAAGCTGCTAACAGTCTCCGTTTATATTTGTGGTTCGGGTTATTTGCGTCACTTTCGTGACTAAAGTTTTAGTGTTTGCGCCGTCTCTGTGCTTGATGCTTCCGTTCTTCGAGTCAGCCGGCTCGTTCTCTGCCCAGTTGTTAGCTGTGTTGTTCTTGCCTTCTCCTTCCGGTTGTTTCCTCCTTGGTTTCACCTCTCTATGATTTGGCCAAGCATATTTCGTAAGGGGAAAAAAAGTGGCGGGGGCCCTTTTATACATAACGTCATTTGGACCACCATTTATAGTTTTAAAATGTTGAGTATTTAACCGTAATATAGAAGTGGCTTGCTACCAGTTTGAGTGGTTCTAGGACAGAGGTGCTCATTGTTTTCCAAGTCGCGACCTCATTTTATGAAGGCAAACAAAGTGACCTACGGTCATGCATTAAAAATAGGCTGCAAAACACATAGATGTTCATTATAAAATCGTGCGATTCACAGTAATGGTAATATACGACATATTCGATTGAATTCTTGTCTGCATATCGCAACAAATCCCTACGGGACGCGATAACGTAATTGTGTGGTGTGTGTATGTTTTCGCTTTGTAAAGCATAGCTCGCCACTGTCCGGCGACCGCACAAAAACCCTTCCGAACATATCAGTTGGGAACCCGTGTGCTATTCTTCTAGGGCAGGGTATCCACACCTAGGACGACAAACTGGACCTGGCTGTCTTGTTCAAGTTACCTGTAATTTTGTCCTCTAATAAGCCGCTTCGTTTAACAGCTATTAAAAAACACCTTTATCAGTGTATGCTTTATCGCATTATGCCCCGCCAAACGTTATAGAAAAGTGTTTGACTGAGGCTCCCGCGTGGAGACAGGATTGTAGGCAAGGAATGCATAGTACATGTAATTTTATCATTCAGTTTGTTGGCGATCGCGGTAAATTTAAAAGTGCTGTCGTGTATTATGAAAAATTTGTGTACGCATTTCTATTTTGTGCATTTCTGTGCTGTCACCCGGTATGGAATGTCATTCTCGTATCGCTATAAGATTAAGGTATTGAATTTGTGATGATGATCTGCAGTGTATGGGTAATGTCTGTCCTTGTTTCTACTTGCTTGCACTACTTTTATCATTGTTGATTTCATTGAACGGCCTCATGGTTTCCATTTATGTGTGTGTTAAAATATGACTGCTGATATCATTAAACTGTGATCTCTAAATGCTTTCCGTTGGCTAACATATTGTTGTTTACATGTGTCTAGGAGAAAGACCCTTTGAGTGTAACTGGGAAGGGTGTGAGAAGAAGTTTGCCAGATCAGATGAGTTAACCCGCCATAAGCGAACACATACAGGTAAGTGGTAGAGTAACATAGAGACATGATACAAGATGAGTTCACCATTAATATGACACCATCATCTGGTTGAGCTGTCAGTCTAGTCTGCCATTCCACTCTATTCTATGCAATACTTTCGATATCAGTAATGGGAGGAGCGTATCCAGCACCTTTAGCATTTCTCAACACCATTCATCTTAGGGGGTATCTCTTGGATGCCCTAATGTCCCTAATCTATTTATTACCCTCTTCAGGGCCTAGGGTTTATCTTGCATTTATTTTCCAAATCATTGCATGCCTGATGCATAAATTTGATGGGTATGTTATAGAAGGTAATGAACCGAAACAATTATCAACTGGGAAACTTTCTACTGATGATCGGTAGACTCCTGTTGTACATGCTCCCCTGTGGAGTTTTTCTCATTATTATTTATACTGGGACACAATCAGATTTGGACATGGTGTAAGAATGAAACTTGATCAACTAACCCATATGAGTATACAATACATCCAAAGGAAGATATGCTAATAGGGCCAGAGAAGGGCCAGGAAAATGTTTAATAGTTAGCATCAGGGGGTACTCTAAATGCCTCTATGTATGGTGCATCCAAGGAAATGAAGCTGCCTGGGACTGACTGACTCGACACCTAAGGAGACAGTAATGAAATAGAAAAAAGACATACACCTAGGGCTTGACAATAGGGATTCAGCACACACATGCATAAAGTTACACGCACACTTGTCTTTTTCTCACCTCTCTCCTCCTTGTATCCTTCTCTCGCTGACTCAAATCTCCCCTTTCATGCACACTTAACTACCCAGTGTGTCGGATCGTGAAAAGTCTGTACCACACTCTATAGCTCACCTTTGCTTTCATCTCATGTATAAGGCTATATTTTTTGTTCTGTAATTGTAAATGTGTTACATGAATGCATTGTTACTCTGTTTGAAGCAGCTGTGCTTTTGCAGGTAATCTCCCTGGATATCTGTGGAAGTACAATGAGTCAGTTATATGATATGATCTCTTTGTGCAGTTTAAGGCTATTTGTAGTCTACTGTGTTGCCCTACTTATTGCAGCTCTGTACTGTCCTTAATTGTTCTGGACCCCAAGCTGCTGGGAAGGTTTTAGCAGAAAGCTGTGATGTAAACTGCTAGGAAGGTTTTAGCAGAAAGCTGAGATGTAAACTGCTAGGAAGGTTTTAGCAGAAAGCTGAGATGTAAACTGCTAGGAAGGTTTTAGCAGAAAGCTGTGATGTAAACTGCTAGGAAGGTTTTAGCAGAAAGCTGAGATGTAAACTGCTAGGAAAGTTTTAGCAGAAAGCTGAAAATATTGCAGCAGCGATGTAAACTGCTGGAAAGGTTTTAGCAGAAAGCTGTAAATATTGCAGCAGCGATGTAAACTGCTGGAAAGGTTTTAGCAGAAATCTGTGAATTTTGCAGCTGTGATGTAAACTGGCACAGCCTATTTACGTATATCCAGATTTTGTAATCTTCCATCCAAAGTAGCTGGGATCAATGATTATAAGTACAAAGGTGGCTGATTAGTCTAATATGAGCCCGGAAAGTTTGTGAGCAGTGCAGGAAACAGCAGTAAGTGTGGGATTAGCAATACGGTTCTTGCTAGTCTGCCTCAATTTCTCTACCTGTGGAACCTCCGCTGCCTGGCAGGCTGATGTACCATGCCTGAGTTATGTACACCATCCAGAACGGTCCTATGCTGCAGCCTTCCACGTCCCTGTATTGATGCCAGAAGAATTTAGTGTATTTATAGAGCTTTTCTGTCCTTCCTTTGAGTTCTTTCCTTGTTGGAGCTCGCCATAAAATACTTTCTTTAGGAGGTGATGGTCTGGCATGCGAGCGACGTGACCAACCCAACCCCACTGATAATTCTTCAGTATCGTGTGGATGTTAGGAAGGTTTGCCCTGTCAAGAACATATCCATAATAAACAATAGATTAATAAAAAAAGAAAAGAAGTGATGGATCATTGCTGGACGGATACTTGACTGTATTTGGTTGGGTAGTTGTCAGCTTGGCCTCGGTGTTTTTCTAAATTAAATGCAATTCTTACAGGTTTTTTTCAATTACCTCTATAGATCCATTCTATTTTAAAACTAATATTGGTTTTTTATATGGTAATTTTCAGGTGAAAAGAACTTTCAGTGCCCTATGTGTGAGAAGCGATTCATGCGAAGTGATCACCTGAAAAAGCATGCCAAACGACATGCACTGTTTCATCCAGACATGATCCCATCTGGCAGTCGGCAAATCCTGTCCGCTTCACATTACTCTGATGAAAGTTCTTCACAGTTTCAGGCCACACTAGAAGATGAAGAACTCAACAGTGATGGGGCGTCACAAGGGTCTGACTCTTGTCCACCTGGGCCAACTTAACACAGTGATTGTTGCTCTTGTACTATAGTTATAAAATGTTGCCCTTTCCATAGAAACAGAAGTTGACAGCTTTATCCTGCATGCTCCCTTGCCCAACCTATATTGTTTGAGAACAATTCAAAACATGCTTGTGAGGGAATTAATGAGAATTAATAATAACTACAAATCTAAGATTTCGACTGTGATTGGTGCCAGATAAATGGTAAATACTGTGTTCTGCTGTTGACATTGCAGTTGATGGTGGCAGGATTGTTTTCCTGTACCATTTTGGTTTACACAGCTCTAAACATTAACAGTAAGCTCACATTAGCAAACATTTGATTACTTAGCTTCTTCCATTCACAGTATAACATAAGAAAAGGCCACCTAAGAAAACAGAGGGAGTCAGTGCTACTGACCACATTCTCTTTTATGTGACATTTAGTCGAGGAAAATATTGATGCAACAAATGCCCTAATGGCTGCCAAATTGTTTTATCTTTAGGACAGAAGCAGACAATATTGAACTGTTCTTGGAGATCAAGTACTAGAGTAAGTGTTTAGGCGCAGCTTTTTGTATTCAGAGCTTGTGTGGTCATTTTTAGGAGATTCATAGATATAGTCTTCATGTTATGGAGTTCTGGTTTCTTGTGGTCGTTTACATCGTTGTCAAGTATCTTGCCAACCTGTGTGGGAAATCATGTTTCTCTCCACATTGTGATATCTCCAATAGCAAGGATTAGATGGCATGACAAAAAGCTGTCAGGAATCTTTCCCTGTGATTATATTATAAAATACCATGAAATAATCCAGAATAAGGAGCATCACATAGTTTTCACCTGTTGAATGTGGATGTTACATCTTATGTCAGATTGTTTAATGTTACTAGAAATTCTTACTTCTGAACTGCAGCAGAGAATCTTCTGAGAGTTAAATTAGCTTACATAAGTCAAAACTGTGTTGGCAATTTATTTGAAGTGAATGAAAGAAGTGATAGAGGAGCAATTTGAAAACAAACAGACTAAAGTTCCCCCACCCATGTTATTTGCTGTCAGAATTATTCATTGCACAACTGTCTTTGAAAATACCCTGTCTAATTGATATTACACACACACAAATTACCGTGTCTCCACAGCAGCAGTCTGTTACTTGTCTCAGCTTTGGCTCAAAGGCAATAGTTGAAAATATGTTTTTTGTCTGTTGATTTTATTCACTGCTCTTGATTTTTATAGTTTTTTAAGCGAATGATTTAGTCCCAGGTGGTTTTACAAGTGATTTCTGATGTACTTAATATGTATTCTTGCAGAAATTTTCGCACAAACTTTTTGTGTAATGTTGAGTAATCTCATGCACACTGGTATTGATCTGATGTCAAACTGTTTGCAGAACTGACTGGGTTATTCTGGAAAATAAGCATAACCATAGTAGCAGACAACTTAATGAACCAAACGCATAAAAGGACTTTGACGCTAAAGAAAGGAAGAAAAGGCATACGTGCACAGCTGAACATTTTCACCAAAGTCTGTGTCAAACAACAATCTTAAATTGCTAAAATGAATGAATGAAAATAAAATTAGGGCTGCTTTAGCGCAGTGGAAGAAGACTCGCTTTCAAATCCAGCTGCGACTCGCTGCAGCCCATGGCCGGTTTTCGAAACCACTGGTCAGTTCACAGGGTTTACCCAGCCTCTAGGAAATGGCAACCAGAGTTACCACGGGGTAAATGGAGGAACCCCGCTGTAGCTACGGAGTTGTGTGCTGGTTGACTGTTTACAATGCCAGGCTCCCATGCGGAGGGACCCAGGTTTGATCTCTGGTAAGATGATGGAGTTTTTCTGTCAAAGGCAAAATAAAACATCCTAACCTGTACAGTCCATGGCAACAGCACTAGCCTAGCAGCCCTACATTCTCAAGCTCATAACCCCATGTCTTCGCCACCCTAAAAAGTAGTCCATACAGACTAGCAAAATTTTTTGTTGTTGACAGATCATGAAGGCCCAGCATCACTAAGTGCATGCAAACAGTTTTTAGAAAGGAAAGAAATGTTTTTTTTTTTTTAACGAGCATGATTGCATAGTGAACATGACATGATTTGTGCCTTATGTTTTGTTTCCTGGTGCCAGGTTCGGCCTCGGTTGTGATTTCATTGCTGGCTTAAAAATACCACAGGTGAACACTTTACTGTATTTTTTGTGGTTGCGTGTATACATTCTTGGGGGAGAGAAGTGAGACATATTGAAGTCAGTTAATGTGCCTTTTAAATACATATCATCCACTGATGGATCCAGAAATGTTTTTGATGTTTTCAGTTGAAAATGCAGATCAAATTATTTGTTGGTTGTGATTTAACCATTTGTGCTTGAAACAATCAGTATGTTTGTTTGTATTAGTTAAAAGCTGTAGAATATTTTGTTGTTTACAAGATTGATTGAGTTCTACTTTACATTGTTATGTTGATTGTTGCTGTGTTCATACTGAATCTCTTAAAAGCTTTTTTTTTCATAGTGCTAAATCTCTTGAAATGTATGTATATATTTTTGTATGTTCAGAAAACAAGAGCCATATCTTATTTTTTTTAGAGCAATGCAAGCTCTTGTTACAACTTTAGAGAAATTGGTAACACTTGTTTATAAAAAAGATTCTTGTTTCTTTCCTGGAAAGGGGGGGGGGGGGTGCACAAAGAAAAGTTGGCCAGTACATGACAAACAATATGCTTCAAATGAGAGAAGTATTAGTGTTACCGTAAGATTCTATAGCCATTTTTATGTTTTTTTTTTCAATCACAAATTGCTGCTTTCTGTTGAAGTTGACATTTCTTAATGTTCTGCGCAGGTAACAATTTTAAATGTACCTCTCAGATTATTAAGCTGTGCTAGTTGATTGATTGATAAAATAAAAGGAAAATTATGTTTCATATGGTTTGTTTTATTTGAAAGTTTAATGGTCACCCCAAACATGTGGAGTCATGGTGTCCTAATAAGTTAGTGTAACCGATTATGAAACAACTCCTACCCTACATAGTACGTAGCAACAGCACTATCTATGTGGCCCTATATCATCAGGCCCAAAGACTACCAGCTGCCAGGTTTACACTGCAAAAAGTGGTTAATGCAGGGATTTTTTTGCAGTAGTTAATTATTAAGACAGCAGACCCTATTCTTTCTGCATTGGTGGCAGATTTCTGTTTTGTGATTCTGTGTCTTACAAGGGAAGTTAATAAGTAAGTTACAAATGGTTGTTTAAAAAAAAAGCTAAAGATGATAACTTGAAACCATTTTTTTTACACATACAATGTCCCTTTACTTTTCAACATAATTTCCACCAACATTGATGCCCTTGTCCCATTGTTTTATCAGCCCCCCCCCCCCCTCCCCCCAAACCTGCTGCATAGAACTGCGTGCTATGTTTTCTAAACCGCATTTTCACTTCACATTTAACTTCTGCATCATTCGTGAAATGTCTCCCACCAAGGTGGGTTTTCAGTAGACCAAAAAGATGGAAATCACTAGGGGTCAAGTCGGGGCTGTAAGGTGAATGTTCCAAAAGTTTGCAGCCTAGTTGGTAATTTTCTCCTGAGTTAACTGAGATGTATGTGGTCTGGCATTGTCAGAACTCCTCTAGTCAGGAGCCATGGACATTTCCTTGGAATTTCATTGACAGAACTTCCCATGCTGAATCAGCATTCACATTATCACCTTTTTATTTTAAATTGGTTAAAAGCACTTTTAGACAATCCCAGAACACTGTCAGTATAAGCTTCCCTGCTAATGGTGTACCCTAAATTTTTTAAGACAAGGCGAAGAAGGACGTTTCCATTGCATCGAAGCATGCTTTGATCTGGGCTGGTAGTCTTCTTCTTCGCGTTCACCAGCTGTACACTCTGGCGGAAAGTTCTGGTTGCTAGTCCACTACTGAACTGCAGTCCTGCTCCAGAACCTGAGTGTTGCGTGTGCATCAGTTTTACAGATATCATTCTCTTGAATACAGACTATTGGTTCCTTGCCTCTCCAGCGGATGCACTCCGACTTCAAAGGAAGCTCCCCAATTAGTCGAATCTTACGACATGCTTTTGGGGAGGCAGAGGGTCTATTCTGGTTTTCCCCACAATGGGGCCCCGGAACCCACACAGGTGTGGGCTGGTAGTGATGCATCCATGATTCATCTCCAGTAATGATCCTGTTCAGCATGTCTTCTCCTTTATCTGCGTATCGACAGAGATGCTGCAAGGAAAGGCCCAAAAACAGCTACGTGCGACGACACATTGTTCTTTGAGGGTACACTCCATAAGTACAGCTGCCACTTTATTTCTATGTTGCGAATGTGCATGCAGCACCTAGCGCCATCTAACAAACAGAGACAAAGTGTGAATTTGCTGTCACCTAATTACACCTTATGGAATGGATATTTAAAAATTTTCAGAATTGTCTAGAATTATCTGATAAAAAAAAAAGAAAGGTGACAATGATGGGAACTGGCTGTCCTTTTTTGAATTCTCTTATTTTTCTTCTCTGTTTGCCCTCAAAATGTTGGTTGGCATGAGATTAGATAGTTCCAGCTTGTCAGCTTTAGGAAGATTACACTGTCAGAGAATTGGCCCAGATTTCATCCTAAAATAACAAAAAATTACGTCCTAAAAAGGACGTATGGAATATTAACCATAAAGTCCAGAACATTTACATTTGAAAAAAATAAAATTGGCGCAAATATTATGGAAATGGCATAATACATTCACATTTTGGGATGAGCGTATATATATATATATGTATAAGATATTTGAAATAATAATTTTTTCCCTGCTCAAAAGATTATTCATATTCTTATTGTGCTCTTGATCTAGCCTGAGTGCCTCCCCCTCCCCCATTTTTTGTGTGGTGTGGGTGTGTCAGTACTGCTCTCCCTTAATCCACATTTGTTGAAAAAAAAGGTAATAAAATAAAAGTCAGCTACACGCAAATCACTGGTATTGTCTATCTTCTAATGCGGATATAAAAATTTAACTCTGACTGAAGAAAGGAAAAGTGGG